TCCCCTAATGCAGCGGCTCTCAACCTGTGGGTCGCGACCCCTTTGGCGGTCGAATGACCCTTTCACAGGAGTCGCCTAAGACCATCCTGCATATCAGATATTTACATTACAATTCATACAGTTATGAAGTAGCAATGAAAATAATTTTATGGTTGGGTCACAACATGAGGAACTGTATTTAAAGGGCCAGAAGGTTGAGAACCACTGCATCTAATTTATCTCTTATGCTGTAATACTCATAGTGATGCAGCTCCCCTGCCCAATCCTGACCAATACACATCTTTAATGATGTTGTTTGGAACTTGCAGTTTAAATATTCACACAGAACTGTCCACATCCTGCCCACAGAGTGACACAAGTTTTAGATTCAGAAAAACCTGAAGCCCAGCTGCACCACAATGGATCCTGTGCAGCCTTGGGCAGGTGGCTTACCCTTCCTAAATCTCAGTTTCCTTATCTGTAATAATGTCCTTGATAATAGTACCAACTTCCTGGGATGGTTGAAAGGATCAATTCATAGAGAACATAAACTTATAAGCAAATAATTTATTATCAAAGTTCCTAGCGCAGAGTAAGTGCTCAGCAAACTTTAGTGCCTGGCTGGCGTGGCTCAGTGGTTGAGCATCAGCCCATGAACCCGGAGGTAAGGGCACATGCTGGGGTGGTGGGCTCCATCCCCAGGGGGAGGCGTGCAGAAATCAATAATCCTCTCTCATCATTGATGTTTCTATCTTTCTCTCTCTCTTCCTTTCTTCCTTCTTCTCTGAAATCAATAAAAATATCTTTAAAAAGAAAAACCACTTTAGTGATTTTGTTATTATTAACTAGAAGCTCAGAGCCAGTCAGTTTCTGGGAAGGTTGTTTGTGCATGGCTGGCTAAGGCAGTATAAGCAGAGGGAGACCCTACATAAATAGGGTCATCCCAAAACCAAAGCCAGGAAAACAGCACTATGCATTCAGTGTTAGAATTGCGAGGGAACATGAGGAAAGGAGGCAGTGAAAGACTGGAGGGCAGGCTGCATTTGAGTTTGAGAAATGAATTAAGGCAAGGGCTTAGGACTAAGGAATGGAGTTGCAGGCAAATGCCAGAATTCCCTTTTTATAGGATGACTGATTTGTAGCACAGAGCAGGCACAGTGGCCTCTAGAAAACCTACAAGTCAGACCACAACCCTTACATTTTCTCAAAGTCAAGAAATATCCAGAAATTCAAATATCAGTGCAATACTGCATCTATAGCTAGATGCTTCAATGTCATTTACTTTGGTGGTTATAGATGGTATTTATTATGATACATTATTTTGGTAATTATTATTTAGTGCTTTCTATAATACTCCAATATGTGTGTTTTTTAAATATCATAAGCATGCTTTTTCTCTCTAGATGCTCTCATGTGTATTATGTAAAGCTCCTTTCTCACATATTTTTGGGTAATTTCTTTTTAAGTACTTCAGGTAGTTAAAAGCAATCAGGCCCCCTATTAAAACAGAAACAGGGATTTATGTCCTACTCAATACATGTACAATCTGTACAAAAATATCTTCTATGAAAATGATTTGTAATCTGTAGACTTACTACCTTGGAGATGTCTTGAGATGTGAATCCCATCCTTTGGGTTGTGGGGTTTTTTTGTTTTCTCCAAATAAATCTGATCTTTAAAGTTCAAAAACTAAAAAAAAATAATAATAAAAGCAATCGAGTATAGATAGTATATTTTAACAAGGAACATGGTCCATCCATAATATTCACTGTTATATGGGCCTATATGGATACAGGCCCATATAACAGTGAATATTATGCAGCTGATCCATGTTCTTATTTTAATGCATTTTTATTGATTTCGGAGAGGAAGGGAAAGGGACGGAGAGATAGAAACATCAATGGTGAGAGAGAATCATCGATCGGCTGCCTCCTGCACGCACCTCACAAGGGATTGAGCCCTCAACCTGGGTCTATGTACCCTTGACCAGAATCAAACCCGCTTCAATCTGCAGGCCAACGCTCTATCCTCTGAGCCAAACTGGCCAGGGCTGATCAATGTTCTTTTTGAAGAATTTTTAATTTTATGAAACAAGTACAGGATAAAAAATATGTGTATATATATACACATACATTTATATAGCTAGATATAGACATAGATATCACACACTCTCTCTCTCATGTAAGTAAAAGATATGTATATAGGATGTCCCAAAAAATGTATACACACACTTTGAATAACTATCAGGGAAGAGTTTATTAAAATACATTTCATTTTCAAAATGGAGCCATTAGCTGTTAAAGTGTGTATACATTTTGGGAAGACACCCTGTATATAAAAGATTAGAAGGAAATTCTCATAAATACCCTCCAGCCAAAAACCACAGGGAGCACACCTGTAGTTGAACACCGACCTGGTGCCCAACCATGGGGAACCGCGAGGTGCTCCAGGCCCGCCTGTGTGGGCATGTGACCTGTGAGTGCCAGGCCATGTTCAATGGAACAGGCTGCAGGTCTTGTACTCAATTGAGTGCCTTGCTGTTGTCATCTTGAAACTCTTAGTAATTTTTTCACAAGGGCCCTGCTTTTTCATTTTGCCCTGGGCCTCACAAGTCAGGAAACCATCCTAGTGACTCAGTTGGAGAAGGTTAGAAAGTTCTTATTATAGGATTTGGACT